AACCATCCAGACTCTAAAACCAGACTCTAAAACTAGACTCTATCTAAAACCAGAAACCAAACCAGAAAGATTTGGATATGATGGGGTATTTGTATTTCATTGCATGATGTATTAAAATGTATCTTGCCATCTCTTTTTTTGAGAAAGGATGTTTTCATCTTTAATTTTTATGAATGATATAGTGACTGGCCTTTCAGAGATAGAAGTGTGCATACATCCAGGTCAGCTCGAAAGAAAGATTTATAGAAATGGAATTGCTGGGTCAAACAGGATGTGCATTTAAAAAGGCATTTTTCCCCTCTCCCAAGCCCTCCCCTTTTTTCTTGGAGTATATTGTTAACCAAGTAAGTAACAGATGGGTTTTAGGGAGCATGTGCACATGAGCTATTTTTCCCACTGTAAAGAACATTTCCTTACTGGCCTTTGTTTAGAGGTTTGTTATTTTTATTTGTAAGTTTTTGAGAGAAAAAAGTTGTCTTTGTCCCTCACAGAGGTTTTGAGAATAGTGTTCATGTACATGTTCTTTTATTGTTTACACAGTGCAAATTGAAAGTCATTGTTCATTTGAAGTGGAGCTTTTAAGTGTATTCGTTTATGTGCATGCGTTTTGAAGGCTAGATTGAGAAGAGAACACGAGAGGGCTGCTTATTTGTGTTTCATTGTGAGGATTTTCCCCCTTTTCTGTAAGACCTAAAGTAAATATTTTAAAAGTATCATTCTAGTTGTTAAACAGGTAAGCTAGTTTTTGAGGATTGAACAGCTTAAATATGATTTGTATTTTAGGTGTACATAATCTTATCAAAGAGTATTAGTGCCATTTGAATTTTTGATTAGCATAAAGATGGCTAGTTTTAAGAACCAAACCAACTGGGAACTGAAGTTATGTTTCCTGTAAAGCTGGCGGGTCATATCAATAGAAAATTGGAAGGGGAGTAGTACAGACAAGGAAATACAGTGTTTATTTCTTCCCTCATTGGCCTTTTTGTTAATTAAAGGAAATCAATGAGAATGCTATCTTAAGTTAGACTAACCTTCCTTCTAAGGTGATCTCATTTCCAGTCAGTTTTACGTCAAACAATAACGTGTGTATTATATTTGATCTCCAAAATACAGTTTTCTTCAATAATTATTCCTGGCCCACTTCCTTCCAAAAGATCATTGTAATGGCCAAAGGGTAATTTTTTCCAGTTTTATTGAGATATAATTGATGTATAACATTGTGTAAGTTTCAAGTGGAGAATGTGATTATTTCATGAACATATATATTGCAAAATAATTACCACGGTAAAAGATTAGTTGACACATCTGTTATCTCATATAATTCCTTTTTTTTTTTTTTTTTTTTGTGGTAAGAACATTTAAGATTTACTCTTAGCAGCTTTTTAAGTGTAATGTCTAACAGTAGAGGATTTATTTGAATGAATTTTGCATTGAAATAGTAGTAGTCAGTTACTAAGCATTATGCTATAGAGAGAAGCATTTGATAATTTAAAGACAAAATAATGTTTCATATGTATGATATACATTAAAACACTTGGAAGAATATACAATAAAAATGTTAACTATGGTTGTCATCTTTTGGTGAAATTATGAGTGTCTTTAATTTCTGTGTGTGTGTGCGCGTGTGTGTGTGCGCACGCGCGTGTGCAGTTTCCTTTCTGGTTCTTCTCTATTCGTGTGTTTGGGAAGCAATTTTTTCTATCAAAACAATTATGTCAAAACTGTCGTCATTTACTCAGGTATAGAATATAAGGAAGGCCAGATTTAAGAACATTTTGTGTTAAAAAAAAAAAAATCAAATGCTTTGTGTGAACCAACCACATGTTTTAGTTGCCAGCATAGGTTTGGAGTCCCGGGCCACCATACTAGATGTGCGTGTGCGGATCAAAGAAGGAAGAGGTCCGCTGGGATCATGCCTTCCTCCTCCTTCCCTTTCTCTCTTATCCACAAGCTGTTGTTTTTATCCCCTTAAGAGTCCACCAGTGAAGTTCAGACTTTCTCATTTCTTCTTTGTAGATCCTTTTCATCTTCTCCTTTCCTAGCTTGAGTACCAGGTGAGGCCCATGCATCTCTTCTCTGCCATCATTCTTTTTTAAAAGTATGTTTTGCTTAAAGGAGGCTACTTTATCTGGGGGGCTGGGAAAGGAAGGACTATAAGAACGGCATCCTTGAGAGGTTAGAACATGAATCCAAGCAGTGTGATCTGATAGGTGGTGACCCTACAGAAGCAGCTAGTTAATTAATTCTGATAATTTGGTGGTGTTTTAGTAAGAGGAGAATTCATAAATAAGAAATTTTAATGGTACCTGAAAAGATACATTAAATGCCTTACTTTGAAGTTCAGTGGGCAGTTTCTAAGCTAACATTAACGTATGAATTATCTAAAAATATCTGTGAGTCTCAGATTCCCATTCAGGATAACTAGGAGGCAGCAGTGGGACACTGCTGTTTAACCAACCCGTGTCCATCACCTCCTGAGCACAGAGTTTATAGGAAAGTCATGTGGCAGCCATTTAACACCTGTGCCGGCCACGCTTACGGGCATAGCCTGACACCGTGCAGAAGTGTCCGAATATGTGGAAAGCAGAGACGTATGGGCACTCCAGAGAGATCTCAGAGTGAGATGAAGGAAGAGCATTGACAAACAGCAGCCAGTGACACTGCCTGTTTCAACTTTGGGGACCCTGGGTCTAGATACATGCTTGAATTTGGGAAAATCCTTAATAAAGAAATAATTCTCAATTAATGGAGCTCTCAGAGGTTTGATTTGTGACACAATATTGCGATGCAGGCAGAGGCAGAGAGAAGCACAGACCATTGGGGCAGCAGGTCATAAAAATGAGGTGAATAATGGCCACACTGTTCCTAAACTTCCAGTAGTCTTTCACCCAGAGTTCAACAGTTTTCAAACAGGTATTTCTTCAGTGCTCAGCAAGAGCCCCTGAAGAAGATACTAACCATGGTCCAGGCAGTAGTTGTGATAGCCTCTCTGCACGTTCACATTTTGTTTGCTTGGAAACAAAGACTACCAGCTTTTGCGGGGTGAATCTTTTTCTGTTTTAATTTTTTAAAGTTTATTTATTTATTTTGAGTGAGAGAAAGAAAGCTGAGTGGGGGAGGGGCAGAGAGGAAGAAAGAGAATCCCAAGCAGGCTCCATGTTCAGCACAGAGCCCAACATGGGGCTCAATCTCACCACCACAAGGTCGTGACCTGAGCCAGTACCAGGAGTTGAACGCTTAACTGACTGAGCGACCCAGGTGCCCTGTGGGATGAATCTTCAGCTTATAGTTATATATAGCCGGCTACTACAAAATAGCAGTAGCCACTGCTACAACCTCTCATGGCAGCTAAGGCAGGCTTTGTAAAGCACACTCCCATCATGTCCGCCCTCACCCCTGCTGCTGGCCATGGAGTTGGCTCTGTGGCAAACTTATTTTAAGGTGTCGGTAGCCCATTTGTCATTTGTCAGGCTGGCGTAAGACCCCTGGATGTGATGTTGTCCATTTGTACTACTAGTAAAGGAACTCTATAGCAAGGTGAAAACAGAACGTACTTTTTTATGTTCTTCACCTTTGTATTTTCTACCAAATTTTGCCTTTATTTCTTTATTTCACCACCCTCTGTTTAAATAATAATCAGTGCATATTAGCCCATATTTTGGTCGTTATGTTTGGTTTGGACCTTCACACATCCAGTAGGAAATTGTGGAGAAGAACACATACAGAGGAAATAAGGGTCTGGAAAACAGGTAATAATGAGTGATTCAAGAGAAGGCAGCACATGGATAGGGCTTACTACACTATGAAAGATATTTTCCATGGTTCACAACCTTGGTGTTTATTAGCATTACCTGGTTTAAAAAATATAGATGCCTGGGTCCTATTCTGAGAATATCTGTTTTAGTTGATTGAGGCAGGGGCCAACTGTGTGGTGTGTGTGTGTGTGTGTGTGTGTGTGTGTGTGTGTGTGTGTGTGGTGTTGTGTATTTCTTCCCCTCCAGAATCTCCCTAGATCATTCTGTATGTAGCCAAGAATTAAAACTAGTGGATTATATATTTTCTGTTTAGTGCTAGAAAGCAGAATTAGTAGCACTGGGGGAAAGGTACAAGATAGAAAGTTTCAGCTCATAATGGAAAATACTCTGGTAAATAGAACTTTCTCCTCCTACAGTATTCAAGGATACAAGAGTTAATCACTTGTGAAGGATGCCGTGAGAATGACTGCTTTGGATAACACGAAGGACTCAGTAGTGCCTTCATTTTATTTACAAAAGGAAGTGCTGTGGTGCTTCCACAGATTTGGCAGGTGGCGTGCTAAAGACCAGCTTTGGGCAGAGGGAGCCTGAGGTGTCTGTGGCACGTCTTTGTGGAGATGTGAGTTGACCACACAGCTCTGGAGCTCACAAGAGAAACCTGACTAGGAGAACGTTGGTGAAAAGGTGGTGGTGGAAACCACCATCTCTGTACTGTTTATCATTCATTTGACCCCTTTTGTTATAAGCTTACCGTGCGTTACTAGTCCCCGAGTTCCTGGAATTTACGGACAAGGAAGCTTAAATCTGAAGAATCCTTACGCAATTACCAGACAACTTCTTAAATTGTTCTGTGCCTAGATTGCTCAGCCGAGCCCGGGATTACAACTGGATTATAAATTCCTCATTAAAGTCCTTTGCAATACATCTAACATGCATGACAACATTTGCACGTTGAGGTTGATGAAAAAGAGGGAAATTTTGGTGGTGATTTCTCAGCCCAGAAAATAAAATTGGAAAAAGATTTCTAAGATACCTTTTATTTATGTTTGTCTTTTTTTCTTTTGCCACCCTTTCCTTTATCTCTTAATTTTCTTGCTTTTGTACCATTGTTATTATTGTCATCAGTTCTTGAATAGAGCTATTTCTTGATATACAGTTATTCCTTAGTACCTGATTTTAACATCTGGTCATGTACTCTCAAGGATTTAGTGAAGATAAGATACTAATGTAACTTCACAACTACAGGTATCGAGAAGCGATTCAAAAATGGGACGAAGCACTGCAGTTAACCCCAGATGATGCTACCCTGTACGAGATGAAATCACAGGTAATGGTTATGAAGAATTTCACTTCCATTATGAAATTGTACTATGTTTATATTTGTTTGGTGAATAGAAATGAACCAAAATAGCATTTCTTTCCATTTTCTTTCTCAAATATGTCTTTTTAAATTTTTTTCAATATTTCCTTTATAGAAAACATGTCACCATATTTATTGCTCTGCCTCTTGCACAACATTAGAAATTCATTTCTTTTCACAATGAAGTTAACTTATTTCAGCCTATGGTAAGATATGAACAGATGGCTATCTTTTAGGAAGTCACTGGTGATTTCTTAAATAAATGAAATGTGTTTGCTTTCCTTGGAAATTAATTATAGTGGATTGACCAATAACTTCATTTCTTCAGAATGAGGGTGGATTGGACTCCGGATGATATGTCTCTAAAAATGGCCTAGTCCTTAGCAAAAGGTCAGAATAGACTCAATTTATTTTTAAAAATAACATTTGAATTTTAAAAATACATTTCTAATATTTTGTGGGAAAGTCTGTAAAGAAAATCTCTGAGCAACTGGATTAGGTTATCCAAAAGACGTAAAAAGTCTCTAATAGAGCATCAAACATATTTTTGGCAGGGAGTAGTCGTGCTTCAGCCTTGATCTACACACCTTACAGGTATCTTTCAGGTAATGATTTCAAACATAGGGCACATTCTTTATCAACTTTGATTTTAGATCAGCCAAGAAAACCCCAAATAAATTATGTCCACTGGATGAAGTGCTGCGAGGACCTTCATTTGGTTAAGTCTTTAATTTTCAGTCTTGACTAGATATATATTAAAGGCAGTATTTGTGGTGAACTGTATGAAATAGATTGTTTAACTTGGAACCTGATAATGATAGTTGTGTTACAAATCTTATGAAATGTGAATGGTCCCCAAAATGATAGATAAAATCTAGCCTTTTCCCATAGATTGAAGTGGAAGGTTCTAGAACTCCCTATTTTTCTGCTTTGTATGGTTTGGAGAACCCAGTTGTGGGGAGGCCTGTGGAATGTTTAAATGATTTTTGTAGCAGGAAGATGTTTATAGGGTGGTGGTTGAACAAATTTAAATTTGTCTCATTTAACAGTGAGACCTGGGATCTCCTGAAAACCACATCGTAAATAGAACAATCAGAAGTGGAATTAAGAGTTCAAATAGCTCTGAGCTATGACCACCTTATTTTGACCAGATGGACAATAGGGTTCAGTGACTGAAAAGGAGATGTTTTACATTTTCATAGTTATTTTAGGAATAGGAAGAAGAATATTTGTTCCTGACCCTGATGGGCAGAGGAGTGGGTCAAAGCCACTGAAGTACTATATTTACCAGACTAAAAATATTTTTTTTTTAAATGAAAAGATTTGTTTGCATATGGTTATTCATTAGTAGTTTGCTAGTTTATGAAAATTGCTGACAGGTTTTATTTCTTCTTTTTGGTTATAGGTCCTAATGTCTCTTCATGAAATGTTCCCTGCAGTACATGCAGCTGAAATGGCCGTGCAGAGAAACCCACATTCATGGGAGTCTTGGCAAACTTTGGGACGTGCTCAGCTTGGATTAGGAGAGATAGTCCTGGTAATGAAGTCAGATTATTATAATGATGAAATTTTGTTTTGTTGTGTTTTTGATTAGCTGAACCAAAAAGTAAATAGCTATTTATCATGTCTATGCAGAGAGTAAATAGCAAATTACCTCTTAAAGGTATTAATCCATAAACACAGATAAAAGTTATTACTGAACATCTTTTCCATTTTATTTTATTTTTTTATTTATTTTTTATTTTTTAACGTTTATTTATTTTTGAGACAGAGAGAGACAGAGCATGAACGGGGGAGGGGCAGAGAGAGAGGGAGACACAGAATCCAAAGCAGGCTCCAGGCTCTGAGCCATCAGCCCAGAGCCCGACGCGGGGCTCGAACTCACGGACCGCGAGATCCTGACCTGAGCTGAAGTCGACCCCTAACCAACTGAGCCACCCAGGCGCCCCCATCTTTTCCATTTTAAACATCAATTATGTAGCACATGGAGACAAAACCCCTAATAGATTATGTAAGGGAAGGAAGAAAGTAGAGTATGGGAGAGTAATGATGATAAATATTTAGACGGAAAAGTTGTCAAGCTTAGTGAGGGGAAAACGGGGCAGGATAGAAGCTTATGAAAGTGGAATACTTATTGTGTTGTTTTGTTATTAATTGGTACGTAATGCATTTCTCAACTTGTCTGGACCATAACTGGTAGGAAGCACAGGCTAAATAGATGAGAGGTGGTTAAGACAATTATCCTGTTTTTGTTTTTGTTTTGGCAGGGCTACGTATACCTGGCAGCTGACTTCCTAAAGAGTGTTTGCAAATCTAATCTAGTACTGGCAGATTTTGTTTCTCATTAACTAAGATTGTTTCAAGGCTTTATTTGCCTTTTACAGGTAGAAGTAAAACAACAAATAAAAAATTAAAAATGGTTTCTTTAAAGGCTAAGGAAATTACTGGTAAAACCTGAATTTAACTTTACTAACAATGGCTTTAGTAAGTTATAGATAACTTAGATTTTTCTGGTACTCTTGTAAATATTATTTCTATGTACCAAAAAGTGTCAAACTCTCAGAAATCATAAATATGGAATTTTGATGAGAGAATAATTGGTTTCAAGTAACTTAAATATGACAATCCAAAATGAGGTTCACACTGATGGAAACCAGTTTAACCGAAGTCCATTTTCCTTTTTTTTTTTTTTTTTTTTTTAACCTGAAGACTTATACCAGAGTTGGAGAAAATAAATTCATGGTATTTTGTTTTCTATAGGTTAACAGGAAAACAAATGGAGCTTATTACACAATACTTTTCCCCCATTTCTCCTTGATTTAAAAACTTACAAAGCATTATCACTTTTGCTTGTTAAGTGTCTATGGTAATGTGGAAAAAAATCTCTAGGATGTAATGTTTAGCAAAGACTGCCCAATAGAGAAAGAAACTCTTGCAGGTGACACAGTAGAGATACTTTCAACCAGTCGGTAAAAGTAAAATTGCTTAATATTTTAAGTTGTTTTGAATAAGGGAACCAGTTGTTCAACTCTTATTTTTTTTTCTGTTGATATGGTTCTGCCGATTAAAACTGAAATTCTTAGAGGGATTAAAAGTGTTATTTTTTTTTTTCCCTTAGTTAATGTAATTTTTTAGAGCTCTACTTGGAAAAATCGGAGTGTAATTTTTATGTCAACTTAAGAGATTCTTTTGAAAGACTGGAATGGTAAGAAAAAAATGACTATACTTAAAATGTTATAGAGGAAGGGTCACTATGAGAAATATATTGAAAACATGCTAAAAACTGTAACATCTAACCATTCTTCCTATATATGTATATATTTGGACAAAAACACAAGAAAATACTTACATAAATAGATCAGGTAGTAAGTTAAAAGTCAACAGTTGGGGATAGCCCCAATAGTAATTATTTAGGTTTTTACATAGAGTTGAGTATTGGAAGTTATCAGTCACTAAGTTCGTCACCTGAAACTAATATTACACTATATGTTAACTAACTGGAATTTAAATAACTTGAAACTAAAAAACAAAACACGCCTGGGTGGCTCAGTCGATTAAGCGTCCAACTTTGGCTCAGGTCTCCCGGTCTGTGAGTTCGAGCCCGACATCGGTCTCTGTGCTGACAGCTCAGAGCCTGGAACCTGCTTCAGATTCTGTGTCTCCCTCTCTCTCTGCCCCTCCCCTGCTCATGCTCTGTCACTCTCTGTCCCTCAATAATAAATGTTAAAAAAATTAAAAACAAAACAAAACAAAAGTTGGCTGTTGGAAAATGATTATGACTTAGTTTGTTCTTCATTTTCTAATTGAAGTGTAAATTTAACTTACCAATCAAGATCTTTTTTTAAAAATTTTTTAATGTTTTTATTTATTTGTTTTTGAGAGAGAGAGAGAGAGAGAAAGAGAAAGCAGGGGAGGGGCAGAGAGAGAGGGAGACACAGAATCTGAAGCAAGCTCCAGGCTCTGAACTCTCAGCACAGAGCCTGATATAGGGCCTAAACCCACGAACCTTGAGACCATGACCTGAGCCGAAGTCAGACGCTTAACCAATTGAACCACCAAAGCGTCCCATCTTTCTTCTTTTTTAATGCAGGCAATTATCTCTATAAAATTCCCTTTTAGTTCTACTTTTGCTCTATCCCATAAATGTTAATGTGTTATATTTTCATTCTCATTGGTCTCAAGATGTTATTCCCTTTTGATTTCTTTGACCCATTGGTCGTTCAAGATTGTGTTGTGTAGTTTCTACTTGTTTGTGAATTTCCCAGTTTTTCTTCTGTTGATTTCTAGTTTTACTCTGTTGTCAGAAAACGGGGCTCCTGGGTGGCTCAGTTGGTTAAGCGTCTGACTCTTGATTTCAGCTCAGGTCATGATCTCTGGGTCGTAAGATCAAGCCCCGGGTCAGGCTCCAAGCTGAGCGTGAGGCCTGCTTAAGATTCTCTCCCTCTGTCTCTCTGCCCCTCCCCCACTCACTCTCCTGTACTCACTCACTGTCTCAAAAAGAAGAAAAGATGACATACTTGGTATGATCTTAGTCACCTTAAATTTGTTAAGAAGACTTGTTTTGTGGCCTAACATGTGATGCTATCCACTTATCGTGTGATCTTTCCTAGAAAATGTTGTTTGTCCTTGAGAACAGTGAGTATTCTGGTGCTGTTGGGTGGAATGTTTTGTATATGTCTGTTCAGTCCCTTTGATCTATAGTGTTGTTCAGGCTCTCTGTTCCCGTATTTATCTTCCTTCTGGATGCTGTCTGTATTCATTACTGGGATTTGGGTATTGCAGTCTCCTGCTATTACTTTATTTGCTATTTCTCCTTCACTTCTCTCAGTGTTTACTTTATATATTTAGGTGTTCTGATGTTGGGATGCATACATATTTATAATTGTTATATATTCTGGGCCAATTGACCCTTTTATCATTCTTTAATATCCTTTTTCTCTTGTGACAGTCAATACATGTTAGCATTATGCAGAGCTAAGCTCTACCTTCAGAGGTAGGCATTCTTGGTACCTTCCTGATCGTGGTTTAGTCAAGAAATCCCTAGATTCTTATATTTGCTGGTCTGCAGAAGCTGAACAATGCATTTGCTCTGTCTTAAACCATATCCTTAATTGTACTTCAGTGGACTTTTACTCCTCAGCAGTGATGTGTCAGTCACTTTCTTTCACACTTCTTTAACTTTTTTTTTTTCATCATAATCATCATGCAGTGTTAAGGGTACAGCCTAAATGTCTATCCTTGCGTTCTAATATGTTTTTTAAACAGATATATATATGTATATATCTTATATACATGCATACATATATATACATATTAATATATATTATATATTATATCATATATATACATATATAGTAAAAAAAAGATATAGATGGAGATATTGTGGATTCTATTAAGTCCACTCATTTTTTAAAATAAAGCAAAGGAAAAACTCTGATTTTTTTTTTTATCTCCCTTAGGCAATTCGAAGTTTTCAGGTAGCCCTTCACATCTATCCAATGAACCCTGAAATATGGAAAGAAGACCTTTCTTGGGCAAGAACACTCCAGGAGCAGCAGAAGGTAGCACAGAAGATTAAGAAGTGTGACGCGTCAGCGGAAATGACACATTTCTCACCAAAGTCAATCCCCGACTATGACTTTGAAAGTGATGAGATTGTTGCTGTTTGTGCAGCAATTGCGGAGAAACAGAAGACAGTTTCAGCAAATAAGACAATGGTTATTGTTTCGGCCTCTGGGACTGTAGAGACGGTCACTGAGAAGGAAGATGGTGCTACACCACCAGATGGCTCTGTTTTTATCAAAGCCCGATAAAGTAGCAGGAACCCTTTGAATCTGGCTTTTTGATTGCTCTTAAAGTTTGAGGCCTAGGGACATCTACTGTGGAGAGACAGAATAAAACTCCTGTTTGTAAAATGAGTTTTGCAGATGAGGCATATAAAAACTAAATGATAGAATTATCGTGTAGTGTTTGGGCTGTGCTTTGATAAGTTACGATTTAAACTTCTTAAGATTAGAATTGTGAGTACAGTGGGGTTTGATTAATAAACTTAAAAAAATAATCCAAAAATGTAAGTGAATGCATTTTAAAGACACAACTTGAAAAGTGAATTCTCTAATAATGAATAACTTGATGGCCAGTGTTATTAAAATGTTGACTCGTTGGCTTTTGTTTCACGATAAAGGAAGTTGGTGATTTCTTTCCCTCCTAATACTCCTGTTACTATTCACTCTTCTGTTTTTCTGGTTGCATTAGAGGAAGTCTCCCAAAGCTCAAATATTTTTTGACATTTATTTTGATTCAAAGTTGTCATTTGGTTATTTTTGGAATCTTTGAAAGTTTGGCTGAAAATGCATGCAACTGTGTACATTCTAAACATTTTCTGGACTTTCTCTTCATTCTGATTTGTGCTTATATTTTGACTTCAAAATTATTACAACAATGGTAGTTGCCTTCTTCAGTATTAGATATGTGAAATACTGATCAATGTCACAATGATGGTTTTATTGTTTTAGTTGTAAAAGTAGAGTATTCCTTACCACAAGTGAGTCATGTTTAAGATGTGCATTTTTGAAAAATGCTTTTATCGATGTGTCCTATCAAATTGTACTGCTGCACTGGCGCAGTCAAAAGTAGTATTTTCTTCTCCTTATTTTTAAAAGCTTAAAAACTCTGAAAAAAACTTACCTTTTGCTTTTAACGTTCCAGCTGACGGTTTGGAATTCTTTTTCTAGATAACTTTTTTGGAACTACTCAATTAAATTACAATTTTAAATAGCTAAATTATGTCTTTCTAAAAAAGTAGGGATGTTTATGAGTGTCAGTGAATGTATATATCTTGGACATGACATACATAGGAACTGAAACATGACTTAACAGTACAATCCCATGAGTAGAGAAGAATATATTTAAAGAAATATTTCGTTGAAAGGCCACGATCGCATTCACAAATCAATACTGTCATTGCTAATATGAGTTATTTTTATACTACACATATTATAGTACAATTATATAGAACTACTGGGTCCTGTTACTTCTGACACTCAGGAAGCTATTTTTGCTGTAAAATTAATTTTTTCCCTGTCAGAGATGAAAGTAAGCTGTTTTAAAGAATCTTACCTTAACCTGTTGGAGCATGTAAGTAATGGTCTACATTTTTCTGAGATGATTTAAAAAATGTTTCCTTTAGTGGAATGCTTACCTCTTTTTTTTTTTTTTTTTTCAGAGTGTTATATTTTCCCTCAAAGTTACATCAGAAGGTTAGCTGTGGTTAGGTTAGTTTTAGAGTAATTGAAAAACACAAATATTAGTTACATTTTATTTTGTTTAATAAAGGATATTCTCACAGGGTAGATACTTGAGTATATACAGAAGTGAGCATTCACCATTTGGTATGTGGTTTTGAGTAGTGGGTTTTTGTTTATCGTGTAATTTGTGAATAAATAGTTTTTTCTGCACTTTAAAGATTTGCCTCTGTGTTGTTAGCTTTTGAAAAATTTGATTTATTTAATTTCTTTCTTATGTGAAAATAAAATATGTAAGGCACCTTGTATCTTGCATAGGAAGTACTCAGTAAATGTTAGCTATTTCTATGAAGAACTTGAATTAGTATGGAGATATTTAACCTCAGTTTCTTCTGATTTTAGGAAGGTAGGAGAACTTTGTAATCTTTATCAGAAAGTGAGAAGTCACTACTTTTGGTATTATAGGACAGATGGTTATCAGTTCTTGGCATAACAGGTGGGATTGTTCTTGGCATAAAATCTATGCCTCAGCCCCAAAAGAGGCAAGACCCAGGATGGAAGGCATGTAGCCACTAAATTCTGTTAACAGAACCTAGTGTTTTTTCTGTATTATGGAGAGGGAAGGCAGCTCATTTATCCATGCTCCAAAAGATTCTCAGCTAGTATCTTCTATGCATGAGGAGAAAAATGCATATATCATTTTGTAAAGATGTGAATAGTGATCTACAGACATTTGCTAAACCTGTTAACTTCACTAACAAATACTTTTGAGTCTGAAAGAAAAATAGTTGATGCTACAGTGATGTAATTTAAGATGTTTAATATACCTTCTGAAATAACACTAAACACTGTATTGAACATAATTTATATTATTCTTGTTTGAAAATTGTATGGCGTAGATACTCATTAGTCAGAACACCACACATCCAGGTCATGCCTGATAATTTGAGAATCCATATATTATTCTGTAGATGACAAGATTTTAGATTATAGAGTATTTATCCTAAATGTGCTAATAAATACTACATACACGTTGAAAAATCATGCAAGGTATAAATCACAGAACCCAGATCTGTAATTGGGACCTAGGTGCAAAATTTTATGGTAGTAGTCTTAGCATAAAGACTTTTAAATTGATGTTATTTGGTAAAACTATAATGAAGACTTAACTAAAGAACCTTTGTCTGAGAAAGCTAAGAGTTTTCATGCTTATAACTGACCAGGATAGCCTCTTCAGTTTGAAAATTATGTTTTATGTAATGACATCAAAAGCTTGTCACTACCGTTCCCAGCAGTAAGAAAAGTTTGTATGTGTGTGTATAGAGGCTTTTTCACAAAGCCTGAAAACACACACACACACACACATATACATATATACATACAT